GATGCCGGCTAACAGAACTTTTACTGTATATGAAATAGAATGGAAGTTGATAGTAATGGGTATAAATCAGAAGTAATTGTAGATAAACTGATAAGAGAAGCAAAAGAACACAAAGAACTATCTAAATCAAGCAGAATTAAAGATAAGGAAAATTTTAAAATATATTTGAGGCAAAAAGAATATAAAAATGAGAATTAAGTGGTACAGCTGCCAACATTAAGGATGGAAAGGTGGATGTGTTCAATAATTTGTTTTTGCTTTGTATTTGGAATAATTCGAGTGATGTATAATTATATTATATGCTGATAATAAAATACTTTCCTGATCAAGAGCAACTCAGAAAGATGTTAAACAGCAGGTACTAAAGCTAGACATTTTAAATCTGTAGATAAATAAATAAAGATTTAGCAAGATTGGGCAGAAAATTGAAGCTTAAAAAGCTCAAATGTGCTAAATAAAGCTCCAGCTTGGAACAGTAATAATCAACCACACAAACAATTTACCTAGAGCTGTGGTGGTTTCTTCATCACTGAAAATAATTTAATCAAGGTAGCATATTTTTCCAAAAGATAAGTTGTAGTTAAAGTAGCACTGTCCCTGATTTGATTGGGCCAAAATCTGATTCTGACGTTTCAATGCTGATTCGGAGGATCAGCAATTTGGAAACAGACATAGCTTTAAAAGTTTTTTCTACATACCTTGAGGTACCAGGTGCAGCTTGTGATTGTTGCGATGCTGGGGTGCATGAAGCATCCATGTGCTCAGCAGTGAACCTGGAAGTGGACCGGAAGTGCTTCCAGTCCACTTCTGGGTCTGCCAGAGAGCATGCTGGAGGGGCCCCCTATGCTCCTGTGGGGCGCTCCATGCACCCCAGCATCGCAGCATTCATGAGCCACCTGCTACCTAGAGGTAAGTAGAAAAAACATTTAAAGCTGTATCTATATCCAAATCTCCGAATCTCTCCAAATCAATTCAGAGGGTTTTGATTTGATTTGATTTGGAGAGATTAAAGGGTCCTCTGATTTGATTCAGATTTGAGGATTCAGCCACCGAATTGGGCTGAATCTCTGCTGAATCAAATCAGGGACCAAAGCTTTGCACAGCCCTAGTAATCAGGTCTGTTACCTGATCTCTCATTTCCATATACTGCTGTTAACAAGGATGTTATCTCTGGAGACACAAATCCACAGTTTGAGAACTGAAACTAAGCATCACAGAGCTGCTTAATGGGATAGTTTCATAGTTTCATAGTTTGTAGGGTCGGAAGGGACCTGAGCAGATCATCAAGTCCGACCCCCTGCCATGGCAGGAAAGAGTACTGGGGTCAGACAACCCCGGCTAGGTGATTATCCAGCCTCCTTTTGAAGATCCCCAGGGTAGGAGCCACCACCACTTCCCTTGGAAGTTGGTTCCAGATCCTAGCTGCCCTTACTGTGAAGTAGTGCCTCCTGATGTGTAGTCTAAATGTACTCTTGATCAATTTATGACTGTTATTCCTAGTTACTTTGGGTAGTGCTCGGAGGAACAGGGCCTCCCCCATTCCTTGCTGGATCTTCTAGACTGGGCACTGAGTCCCACTGAGTAGAGTGGTTTTCTTTAATCTTTAATAACCTATAGAAGAGCTTCTGGGAACCCCATAAGATTGGGCCCCTAATATAGTCCATAGCCGGTGGTGACCTATTTATAAAACTTTTGTAAAAACATTACATGAATGTAGCATCTCAAATAGGACTTAATTAGAGGTTATAATCCCTATTCCATTATGATATCTTTGAGCTTTAACATATCTTAAATTAAAACTATTTTCATATAGGTATATATTTTTTTAAAAGCATCCCAACCAAAAAAAATAAATGAAAAATACAATTACATAAAAAAATCTTATTTTTGTCCATCCTTAATCCTTGCTTTACTGACTAAACGGAAAACTTGCACAACTGGGCTTTATATTTCCAGGAGGTCATGCACTTGTCCCAGTGTCTGGTCCAAATGGGCTATATTTTAGGATGATGTTCTTCCCAAGAACATAGGTGTTCTTGGAGAGCGGACGACATATACTATACCTTTCCTCCAGACTGGAATGCAATCTAAGAAGTCCAAATCAGTGCCCTTAGCAAAGGCATCCTTATAGAGGTGGATCCACGGGCCTGTTCCTCTGCCTGGTATGTTGGTTTGTACTATGAGAAGCTGCTAGAATCTTGTTCAATCCCCTCCATCCTGATCATACAGGAGGCGGCTCTATCACGTCTACTGATGCCAGGCACCTCAAGCACTTGCCTCTTTTTAAAGTCAGCGACTAATGTTGTCTTAAAAATTCCACACCACAACAGAATTATAAAAAGTAGTTTTGGAAAGGGACCTCAGGAGATCATTTGGGATGGTTACTGCTTACACAAGTTACATTTTTTGCACAATAGGGCCCCTGAAAGCCCTTTACAGCTATGCCATGCTGTGGCACATGTGCAGAGCTACAGAGTGCTCTTAAAATAGCTGATTGCATGACAAATTAACCCACCTCAAGTTAGGTATTAGATGAAGGCCCTTCACTTTAGAGCTTCTTGGGGAGCTTATGTTCTCTAGGGTTAATTTTGTGTGTGTTGGGGGCTGGGCTGATGCAGCTCTGTCTCTTTCCTAGGGCTGGTAGCAGGGAAAGAGAAGTGAGCAGCACTGAACTTTGCCTGGCCTGAGCTAGTAAGAGAGGGGTGGATTGGAATTGCCCCCCCCCAACTCATGAGCCCAGACCAGCTCCACCCAGTACCTCAGCCCAGGTACTAGGGGGATCCTGAGCTAGGGGGGCTCTGATCCACACCCCACCTCCAGCTCAGGCCAGGCAAAGGCCAGCCAGCATCTCAGTGCTGCTTGCTTCCCCCTCTTCCTTCTTCCCCTCCCTCCCTGCTGACAGCCCTGGAGCTGGGACAGAGAGGGTGGGGTTGGGGAGAGGGACAGTTCAGCTACCTCCTCAGAGGCTGCTGGAGTGTCCCCATCTTCTTGCCAGGAGGGCCAGTGCAGGCAGGCTTGATTCCCTCTACCCCGCAACCCAACAGTTGGGGGGAGGTGGGGGAATAGTGTCTAACTCACAGAGCTTTTAGTAAAGCACCATGAGTTACAGTGGGGGCCTGAACGTCTGTCTGCACCCCAATTCAATTTTCTACTGAATGCAGGATCATTCCTATCTAAACTAACCTCGATAAGTTTTTATCTAATTGATCCTTATAAACTTAAGGAAAAACCCTCATAAACAACTTCCAGCCATAATGCCTGAAACATCCAAAAAAATCCTTTAACTTGCCACACGTAAAGCATAGATATGAGAGTCCTGTTGCTACAAGGGCAGGAAGTCATTTGTTAAAATACACTCAAGAGATCCAAGAAAGATAATCACATTTTCTTAAAATGAATTAGACTAATATTAATAAACATATGATAAAGATGAGGAAAACCTAAAAATCAGACTAGGAAAAAATGGTGCTACATTACATTTGAGATATACTATTGAGAATACTTTAGAATGTCATTTTACCCATAGGAAAAAAAAAGAATAATTATTCTTATTTATAGTGGCAGTACCTAGTAACCCTAGGTTCACAGTGGCTTCATTGTTCTCAGTGCTGAGGCTCATTCCTGCTACTGTGATTTAACTTTCTCTTGTAATTGCCTCTACTCCCCATTTAATAACATTTTGCTTCTTTCATTTAGCTCTTCATCAAATGCAACTTAAAGAATTTGTGTGAATCCTTGTCATTTTTTCATTGCTTCTCTTTATGTTGTAGGATTGGCAATTGCCCACCATTTCATCCTCTGCATCAGCTCATCATATGGTATGCAGCAAGTCTATGCTTCTGCATTTCCTGGGGTTTATCTGGATGTCTCAGTAATTCATATGCAAGTTGTTTCAGAAATACACATTTTCATTAAAAAAAAAAAAAAAAAATCAGCGGAAACTTTCCTCCAGAGCAAAATATTTTTTTCTTCTAACAAATGTTTTAAAATATTACATTTGTCACAATATCCTCTATCAACTCACCATTTTTGTATAGGGTCAGATTGTGCCTTTTGTCTTACTAAGTTAAGCAGGAGAGCTTTTCTTGCTCACCTGTGGATCACAAACAGGTGCTCATTTTTAGTGGTGAAAATTTCTGAGAAGAGAAGGAAGCATGGGTGACTGGTGCCGCCTTAGTTGGGGGGGGGGGCATATGCCCCCCCCCCACGACTAGTCTCACTGGTCCCCTATGGCCAATCTCACTGTCTGGGGGAGGAGGGGCGGAGTCCCTCTGCAGCCAATCTTGCTGCCGGGGTGGGGCGGTCCCCGCAGCAGATCTCAATGCCTGGAGGGAGCATGGACGATTGCTGTGACTGATCTCTGCAGCCACTTCCGGGAGTGGCTGTAGCCACTTCTGGGAGCAGCTGCAGTGATCAGCCGGTGCCTGCAGGGGGGGGCACCAGTGCTCCCACCTGCCTCCCCGCCCATTGCCTAAGTGGCAAGTGTGGCCAATCAGGGTGCACCAGCACTCTCAGGGGGTGCATGTGCACCCCCATGCGTCCCCTACGTGTCGCCACTGGGAGGGAGTACTACAAGTGTTCATTCAGCCTGCTATCACCCACTCTCTCTTACTGATGGACTCCTTCCCAAGGTCAGGGTGATTGTGCTCTGGGGAAAGTGTGGGGAGCAGTGGCTGCTCTACTTCTATTCCCACAGCTTTCAGAGGTTCAGCAATCAATGCTGCCACTGCTCACCTGCCACCAAATTTTTGAAACTCTGGAGAGCCCTGGGGGCTGGATGACACAACCCCATACATTAGATTATTTTAGCATGCAGGATCATCCCACAGCCAGGTTGCACCCATGGACTGACTTCATGTGCAAAATCCAGCCACTGTATCCAGTCCATAGACTAACCCCATTGGCAGGAGCCAGCCAGCAGACCCACCCTGTATCACTGTTCTGGCCCCTGAGGCCAGAATGTTGTGTACCACTGATTTAACAGGCCAGGGTCCCCTTTTCTAGTGTAGACAAATCCTCCAGGTTTAATCTGCTATTCCTGAATACACTTAATGATTTATTCTTGGCTAGTGCATGCAATAATTTATGTACCTGTTGATTGGACTGAAGTCTTTTTTAGAAGAAAGTGGAATTAGTGGCAGGACAGAGCTTTGCTTAAAATTGGAAATAAAAATGTACTTAATTATGTGGCAGAAATAAAGTAAGGATACACAAATACACTAGATCCTTTTCATGAACTGATAAGCAAGACTAATGCCAAGCATTCAGGTTTGTGAGTAGTAACTGAGGCAGTAAAACAATTGAGGTCTTTACAGCAGTTGACCCATATTCTCGTGAATCTGGTGGCACAGTATACTAGGAATGGAATATTAATAATCAAAAAGTAAAAATAAGGCTTCTTATTAGACTGTTGAAAGAAAAGGAAAGGAATATGGGACTTACTCTGTGCTCTGCTGCTGTGTGGTCATTTATACCCATGTAAAGCACGGCAAAATGATTGTAAACTAAACTGCTGCCATTCTGAACGTAGTTTTTTACATCCACTTTGCACAGATGTTAAATATAGAAAATTAGATCCAATGTGCCTTTATTACCGCAATTTAATTTAACCATTTACATTGGTGCCCCTGATGTAATAGACCTGAATCGTTTCACTGCTTCAATTACTATTCACAACCACAATGCTTGACATTAGTCTTGCATGTACTTTTTTGTATTATAATTCTTCTTGATTCTGGGATTCACATGTGCTTCTATAAGCATAAGAAATAGGGGTGGGGGGTGGGGATCAGTCCTGTTCCTGATATTTCTATCAGTCAACAATATTTGTATGTAAAGTTCCTTTGTGAGACTGAGGTATAAGTGAGGGATATCAGTAAAGTAAATCTATATCAGACCCTGGCTCTCTCGGTCCGTAGACAAAAATATCTTAGAAATATACAAGTTGGGTTTCATTAGAATATACCACCATAGCTTAAAAAGAGATATATATGTTTGGACCTAGTTTGTGCCTTTCTATGCCACATTTTTCCCTTCATTTGGCAGAGCAGAGAACTCTTTGTGCTCACCTATGGGGCTTTGGTAGCCCAGCTGTGCAAAGATTATGAGAAGGATGAAGATGTGAACAAATATTTAGACAGTATGTAAGTATCGAGTTTATTCTGCTTATATTTTCACCCTAACAAAAAGTGACATCCCTGTAACTGCATATACTTCTCCAACCTTATATTCTATTTATCTTGTGTATACCAGCACTGTGTTTAAGATCACGTGAAGTACAAAACAAGGCAGTCTTTAAACTTTAAGGAGCTTACAATATAAATATTATCACAACTGCCAGGAGAGCTCAACAGAAGAACTCTTTGTCCATGGGAAGATTCCTAGAACATGTCTTTCTCTTAACTGAATCCCTTCAGTGATTAGTTCCATGGACATCCTAGCAAATCAGTCAAATGTCAGGGCTTTCCACCAAAGCAATGAATTTTAGACAGGTGAGCTCTTTGCAGCAAGGACTATCTGGCCCATGTCTGAAGCTCCTGGACATTACTACAAAAGAATTAATAAAAAGTAATATTATAGAAGATAGGAAACATATTTTGAATGGGTTAAAAGTATTTGCACAGCACCAGATTCTAAGGGCTTAACTACACATTTTCTATGACCAGTTTATGACCTCCACCGAGAAACATGCTTTTCCCACTTGCTCCTACTCAGTGTGCACTGCATCCTGGAAATGAGTCAGTGTGCACTGCATCCTGGAAATAAGTCAGTGTCATTCTGAGCAAGATCTGTTCCTACGACATACTGCTCTAAGATGGCTTTTTTGCTTTGCATCTGGGATTTGGGGCATCCCTAGGGGAGTGAATGGGCAGGGTAGAACTCTCAGCCATGGTCCTAGCACTAAAGAGATGGTGTAGACAAGTCCTTAGAGTGAGTGTATCCATTCAGAAAGAGGAAGGAACACGCCACATGGCCTACATGTCTAATCAAAGCATCTCACATTCTGAATCAAATAAGCTGCTGAACAAATTACTGAAAAGTGCCTGTTCACAGAAACTATTCAAGTGTTCATCAGTTTGAAAAAAATCATGATTTACTCACAAGGAGAAATGAGACAGAACACCTGGAATCAGTTTGTTTGGTTTTTTGTTTTGTTTTTTTTTGCCAAATCACATATTTTGGAATATTCTGTACATGTTCCTTTCAGGTTCTGTGGCAAAAATTGGGAAATGCTCAGTTTGTAATGTAAGGAGTAGTATATTGCTCCTCTCCTACTATATAAGCTGTCTCTAAGGTTTTGCTTTTTTTCCCTGTTTGATGAACACAGTGCCATATTCTTCCCTGCTAATATACCATTGACTGGTTTAGAGTTACACAATTTAGCCATCTGAGCTATTCTCATTTACTTCTTTGTTTATGCAAGACTATAGTAAAAGGAAGAGATGTTCTAAGTTCAGTACAGTATATAGACATAGCTATTATAAGGCTGTCAGGTTTCCACTATAGCAGCTTGTCACTTCAGTTTACCTAATGGTTAAAAATAAAAATAAACTGAGCACTCTCTCGTGTTGGTCACATACATATTTTAATAAAAGCTAATGAAATATTTATCAGTGAAGCTAATGTTGAAACTTAGGCAATAAATAAATATTTCATGATATGCTGGTGAATCATACAGTGTTATTTTGAACTTCAGCCTTTCAAAAAGCAGCTCTGGAATACATTGTTGGCTTCTTGTCATAAGCCTTAATATGAAATCAGTAACTTCAGCGGACCGGGTAAAGCCTGTAATGAATAGTAAAAATTTCAGAAACAATTAGTGTTTACAATTAGTGTAAATGGAAAAAATCATTTCTGAATTTGATCTAGTTGCTAATATTTACATGCATGTCAGCATCATACACTTTTCATCTTCCAAAGTCTAAAAATTATTTACCATGACAAGAATATTTATGGAACATCTCAGTATTTAAAAGCCAATTACATCTTCCTAGTGCTAGCAGTGGATGCTTAGGGACCTAATATACACCACTTCTCGTTCCAGAGTTAGCATGAGCAGAGTGCTACCTGGGTCTGTCTAGACCTGCCCTCAAAGACATAGTGGTTGCATCTACACATGCAATTAGTATGTAGACATGAACTCTAGTGCAGTTTGCCCAAGAGTTTATTGCTCCCAGATGCAGTGTTTACACGTGTGCCCGGAACTGCAGCACATTGAACCGGGGTGAAGCAGCCCTGCCTGGCAGGAGGTCCAGGGGAGCAGCCTGCCAGCCAGGGCTGATCTGCCCCATCTCATCATGTTGTGGAGAGGCTGGCTGGGGCACAAGGTGCTACAGTGTGGGGGCTAGCTGGCACTGTAGCACCCTCATGCCCAGCTAGCCCTGGCCACCATCTACATATGCGTTTTGGCACACATAATTACTCTGCTGTAGGATAGTACCTATCCCAGACAGCACTATCCTACAGTGGAGTTAATTAATTTATTGCACCCTAATACAGACTCACATGTAGATGGTGATGTTTCACTGAAGAGCTAATTAGTCGACTTTGCAGTAAAGTACATGTGTAGATGCACCCAGTTTTATGCAGAAGCTGTGCGCCAACAATGATTAGCTTCCTTTTTGGGGGGTGGTAGGTAAAAGGGAAGGAGTGTGCTAGGAAGAGAAAAAAAGAAAGAAGGAACTAAAGAGGAGAAGGCAGGACAAAAGAAAAATAGCTGCAGAGGAGTGGGGGAGGTACATGTTGGTGAAGAGGAGCAAATGCTGGAATGGGGGGGCTCACTCACCTCATGTTAGAGCTTATTTCAGAGAGATTTCAGGGGACAAGATCTCTGCAACTTGAGATTTCCATGTCAGGTAGGTGAGCCAAGTTTCCCATGCTAAGATGGAATCTGGAACCACCTATAGAGCAACCTAAAAAATAAGTTACGTGACCTAGCAGGGAAGTCTCTTTTTTTTCTTCCCTGACAGAGGCCTTACCGGAGATGAATTTATAATTTTATAAGGCTGTTATTAAAGTAGTAAGGCATTTTTATCACAGAAAGTAAAGGTTCCGAGAGCTCCAAAGGGATGGACTGTGTGCAGTGGGCTAGAACAGCACTGTACTTGTAACAAATGATTGTAATAAATAGTAGCGTATTGCTACAGGTTAAACAAAACACAACACTTCTCTCTGAAAAACAGAGTGCAAATGTCTCCTAAAAGCTTCCAAAGTATGTAGGCTGGGCTTAGTGAGTCACAGAAGCAAAAGACATAGCATGTGGAACTAGTATATCCCTATGAGGGGCCCAGCATAAAAACCTAAATAGAAGCAATCAAAATGTAACTCCACTTGAGAAATTGTCCAGGAAAAAATGCAAACATGAACCACTGTAAAACACTGCCAACTGAGCAAAGGGGAGGGGTGTTGGTATTTATTTTCTATTTTTCTTTTAAAAAAATGCTTATCAAAATCTAAAATAGGCCAAATTCATCCCAAATAAATGTCATAGGTAAAATATGGATCAATATAGAGACTATCCATTGCTTTGCCAAATATTGATGGCAATTATGTCATTACATTCTCAGTCAGCTAAAGTGCTTATTTAGTTTTTGCACATAATTTTCTTTTCTTTGCCTCAGGGGATATGGTATTGGCATAAGACTCATTGAAGACTTTTTAGCTCGTTCAGCTGTGAGGAAGTGCCATAGCTATTCAGAAATTGCAGACATGATTGCACAGGTAAGTAAGAGTAAAATCAAATAGACTTGGTATCCCTTTGTGTTCTTATTGTCTGGCCTTTTCTCCTCTCCTATCTTTTTTCATCTCCAAGGCCGCATCTACATAAGACACTTACTGTGCAGTAGCTCGTTACTGCTGCACAATAGTGTTGCCAGACATGAGCCGTGATGCAATGCTACTGCATAGTAGTAATGAGCTATTGCACAGTAGTAGCCTGCTACTGCGCAGTAAGCATCATAGGCAACCATGCCAGAATGCTACTGTGCATTAACACCCATTACTGCACAAGCATTTAGTACTTGGTTATGCAAGTACTAAATGACTGCACAGCAACAACTGCAGTCAGCATCCCGTGTAGACGTGGCCCAAGAGAGGTTAATTTATCAGCTGCTTAGATCTCCTGTCACGTGAAGGTGCTATAAAGCAGAAGGACAAGAGAACATGTCATCTTCCACATTAACTAATGCTCCAGGTGGCAGGCAAATATCTTGTTTTAGAGCTTACTCTCATCTAATGGCACTCTGACTTAAGCCTGCTCTCAACTACAGGAGGCTGTTCTTTGCTTTATTGAGCATTCAGAGCCCTTCAGTGGTATATGTATGGTTTCAAACCATATATGACACTATACTTCTGCTGCACATCAAGAGAATAATACAGTTCTATACCAGTAGTCGGCAATGTTTTGTGGTAGTGGACCAGCATGACATACCTGGCTCGGGTCTGAGGTGGGCTCGCTTTAGAACCTGGCTGCTGCTATGGCTGCTACTGCCACTGCTTTTTCCTGCTGCCCAGCAGAGGCCTGGTTGAAACTCTCCACTGCCCAGCTATGGCATGGCACAACACCCTGCCACTAAATGCTGCCAAGCCCCCCCAGGTCTACAGACTGGATCTGGCCTGTAGGCCATAGGTTGTAGACCCCTGTACTTGAATACATCTAACCATTTAACTTTCAGAAGGAAACTTCCTATGCAGCCCATGTTTTATATACCTTCTGATGACTAACAGATTAGTAAGGGCCTAGATATACTTTCACTGACCTTATCCTGGTATAAGGCTGGGCACATAACATAACTTGCTGGAAACTGATATAGATTTATCCTGGGAAAAATAAAAGTAAAACAACACTTGTGTAAGTTACCCTGGCATAGGTGCCATCTGTCTGCTTCAGTCCCAAAGTTTGCTAAGTGCAACAACTTCCCCACCACCTAGTAGCACAATGCTATAATGGCACCTACTGCAGAAGCAACCTTCAGAAAGTTGGTTTTATGTCCTCTGTAGGACTTATACTGCTGTACAAAACCAATGCAAGTTATACCAGTGTTAATGTGATGTTTGTCCAGATCCTGGGGTTAAGATGCTAGAGGAGACACAAGAGCAGTTATTTTATTTCAAGCCAGACTCTTGAAGGCCAAAAATAAAATATAGGCACTATTCAGTCAACATTATTGCATCTAGATTATTAAGTTAAAATCACAATAGTAAAATTAAGACAGAGGACTCATCATTAACCATAAGAGTGGTTGAAATGTCTACGTGAAGTGGGATGATAATCAGATAAGGCTTATGTGAGTACAGCAAGTTGCACGTAGTTCTATGAACACACTGCTTTTTATACTCCATCTGGCTCAGATGGGCAAGAAGCCTAACCACTTGACCAACAGCATAAAATGTGGGAACATCATTCTGCATTTTTCTGGGATGCTTCCAAGGGCAGATTAGGATCTCAACAGAGCATAAATGAAGGTAGGTGCCCTGGTGAATTCTTTCTGAGTATGCTTAGAAAACCAAAATATTAAAGTGGGGATGGCCAACCTTGGTACGTGTGACACAAGTGGTATGGTTAGGCTTTCTGTGTGGCATGTGGCAGCTTGGGGCACATGACAGATAGGGCAGAAAGCAGGACAGCAGATCGGCAGGGGAAAGAGATTGGAGTGGCAGTCAGGAAAGGTGCAAGGATAATTTATGATGCCTGTCAGAAAGGTTGGTCCCCAGTGACATAAGGAATCTAAATGTCCAAATAGGTTGGTAGCTTTCCTCCAGGTAGATTAGGATTGCATGTAGAGATTTATGGGCCAAAAAATCTGTATATGTGCCCCTTGGCAGCAGATACAGATGTGACCTAAAGAACATTTTAGTAATTACAGATCTGTACTACATATTTTACTGACATGCTGGGATGTACAGCACAGGCATATATAGAACTTCACTGACTTCTCCTCCAAGACAATAAGATGTTAACAAGTCCGCATCTCTCTTCTGAAAGAACAGTGTGAATAAATGGCCACATATGTGCTGCTGTGTGGTAACATTATTTAAAATGAACCTGGTGACAGTAACTAGTAATTCCTAGTAATGGATAATTCCTACTTTTGCTGTTCTATTTTTAAACTAATTAGATACATGGGGTGGGGGTGAGGGATGAGGGAGAGAGAAAAACACAATGTCTTACAGCTTTTATCTGCTTCTCTAAGGTGGTCTTGACTGAAACCTCTGAACTGAAAACTAGTTTTTCCCAGATTAGTTAATTCAGGTTTTTTTATTTCTATTTTATTATTTGGGGAAGTAGATGTGTATGCTTGTCACAGTTATGACTGCTTTTAATCACAGTAGTTCAATAATGTACATTTAAGAACTGGGAACAGGACTCATTCACCTGGGATAAGCTCCCAGGCTACAGTGACTTAACTTTCCTTCTTTATCCGCTGTCCATCCAACCCATTTTTTAAAAATTCAGTAAAGGGCAATATATACAAACTGCACAAGTTAGTACATTAAGTTTGCATGTGAGCCCAGGTTCACAGCACGAGCTGGATTGGAGCAGCCCCAGCTGGCAGGGGGTCCCAGGGCATCAGCCTAACAGCCCAGAGCTGTTCCTCCCCCACCCCCCGCCCTCAGCTCAACATGCCATGGAGGGACTGGCTGGGGTGTGATGGTGCTTTGGTGTGGGGCTAGCCAGCAGGCAGCTGCTGTATTGAATCACCCTTGTGCCCCAGCCAGCTGTGGCAGCATCTAAATGTGCACTACTGCAGCATTTTTTACTCTGCAGCAGGATAGTACTTGTAAATATTGCTGAGGAGTAAATTAGTTTACTCCAACCCAACATGTAGATGCTGAAATATTTACTGCGCAGCTAATTAATCTACTGCACAATAAACATCTCGTGTAGATGCACCCTAAATGTATCTCATTATCTAACTACCTGGGAAAGGAAAAGGTAACATAAATGTGCATTGGGTAGTGAGAGCTCGTTCATTACAATATTTCAAATAGAAGGCAGGGTAGTGATATGCCTTCTGCCTGACTTCAGGCTGACACGGCCCTCCTCATGAATATGTCAAATAAATAAATTCCAGACTTTCCTAAGCTTGTGGTGTAAAGCTGTAAATTCACTTATAAATTTGAACAGGTCCAGAAATTTTGTGCTGGCTTTTTGAGAAATGAATTGCCTCCATTGTCACTTATTCTATGCACATACTGTGATCTACTGGTGCAACTGCAGGCCAGGTTCTTGGTGCAGCAACTAGAGCCCTCCCTGTAATGTCAGTGAGCACAAACCCTATGTTTCATGAAGACGCTACCAGTGGTCAGCAATGAAGGGAGGAGAGTTGTGAAGTCTTTCATATCTGTGTCTAGATCTCACTGTTCGGAATATATCCAAAACTCAGAGCGAAGTGTGTAGGAATTCCCAGAAAAGCCAAGCTAGAGCAGAGAAATTTTCTGAAATGACAATAACTATTGAATGCAAGACAGAATAATGTCCACCAATAATTACCATTGCAATTATTGTATTCAAAATGGCTTCTTTCTTTTAAGGAATAATGCCAGGCTGATGAATCATATTTTTCCCTTGTTTTTCCTCTCTTCTTTTGTGTGTTTATATAGACGTACTCTTCATTGTTTTCACATGTTAGTACTAGACATTAGATGATTTTTCTAGTTGTGCTACATGTTTGAAGTTCTCAACAGTCCTCACTATTTAAAAGGGCCTAATTTATTCTCTCCCTGTTTTGTTCTGCAGTGCAGTTGATTGAACACAAATAATAGCAGAGAAAGGCTACCTTTGGGAACAAGACCACCCCCCCACCGCCATTTTCCTCTTGTTACTATTTTCACCAAGATAGAAAGAGTCTTTTAGTGAAAGCATCCATAGTTGTATTACCTTTATGGGACAAAAATATGATTCAGTAGCTGAAAGCTATTTCTGAATCTTTGACAAAACTATTTAGCTTTCTAAAATTTAACCATCAAATTTCCTAGACTGGGAATTCTTCAGAGAAACAGAACTAAGGATTTTTGCAGAATGCATGTGAAAAATAAATGGAAATATAAGAAATAATCTAAGATAAACAGAGGCAGGTTTAAGCTTCTGGCATTACCTATTTATATAAGTTAATTTCTCATCTGGTTAGCAGACTGACTGGTACTTGGCAGATTATTAAATACTTAGAGCACTTACACACATGCAGAAAGGCTGCTCTGATGCACTGTAAATCAGAGCATTGGAGCAGACTTGATTAGTCAAGTCTGCTGGTGTGCAGAAATTAACGCACTGCAGCATCACATGTATGAACATCCCCACACTGAAAGATGGCAGCAGGGTGCTTTGAACTAAAGCTTGTTGAACTAACTTTAGTTCAAAGCACGCTGCCACCAGTTTTTCATCATGGGGACGCTGACACACATGACACTTGGACCCTTTTAATTAGCGCAGCCTGCTAATTAAAGCACCCACCTCCCTGCCTCCTGAAGCACATCTATAAATGCCCTTAATTTCCCTTTTTTACCTCATTGGTCATAAAACTAAATTAGGGTAACGATTATGATGCTGAAATCATGGGCAAAAATGTAATGGGGTGGAAGACTGATGTTTTTGCATCTCTTCAACATTGTTCACTTATCACCATTTTCAGATGTGATTCTCTTGTCCTGTGGGTTAAAGTGAGCAGCTATATTGAGAAAACATTTTGTAACTCTGTGATTCTGATTCTGTGGTCCTTTGG